TGGGAACTGTGGGATAGCTACCCACAGTGCAACACTCAGGAAGTCGACGCTAGCCTCAGTACTGTGGAAGCACTCCGCCGAGTTAATGTACTTACAGCATTTTGTGTGGGGACGCACACAATCGACTATATAAAAACGATTTCTAAAAAAACGACTTCTATAAATTTGACCTAATTTCGTAGTGTAGACATACCCTAAGGGACCATTCAAGGGGAAGTGTCACTACTTCACTTTTAATGCCTAACAGCTTTGGGGCAGGGAACTTATCTCTTAATCAGCCTATAAAGCTCATTTATATTTCTGCCCAAATATATAGAAAATAAATAAAAGACAGCATAAAAATCATCCAATGTGTGGCATCCTCAAGGCCTCTTTAAAATATAGCCATAGCAGAGCACTGTGCACAGGCAACTTAGTTCTGAGTGATAGCTTTTGGTGATCTCACAAACAAATACTTCACATTTAAGCAATAATACAAAGGGAAAAAATGTAATTGTAGCTAAGGCTTGTTTTTTTCCATAGAAAAGTGCCATTTTTTAATGGAAGAAAAAGGTAAATTTCACTGGGCAACATAAAATTTCATAACTACATGTCTTAATGACTCTCATCAACCAAAAATGCTTTGTAAGGGGCCAGACATGTTTTGTTAGGAAGAAATAAATAAAGAGTTTCTATTCACTGTTTACTATTTTGGAATTTTACTTCAAAATTTTCAGTGTATCTAAGGAAAACTTTGACATAAATTGTTCAGAAAAACAACGTTTCAATAAAAGCAGTTTAAACACACATTCTAAAATTTTTACTGTAGAAAAGGTTTGGTTCAGCTGAAGTTTATTCTGCTGCAGTATCCTGTATGAATGCAAACTCCCTTGTTTCTGCTCTGGTGCTTATCAGTTAGCAGTGCAGCAGAACATGAAAAAGATCTTTTGGCACTTAGCCTGTGAACTGGCACACACAGCAAACTAACTGAAATATTCCCCAGCTGTGGCCTAGCCAGCCAAAAATGAATAATGTTTTTTTAAAAAAAATTCCATTCAATCCTACTGTGCTGAGTTCTAGAATATCTCCCATAGAGATTCTGAGTTAGCATTTTTCACAATAAGTGAGCAACTGGTGGGAAATTTTAAATTCATGTTTTTCATAGAGCAGTCAATTTCATGTTTTCCATGCAAGCTGTGATAACTGTGAAAATAATGTAGCTTCATTTACAGGCAAGTACTCTGGATGAAGTTTTGAGGCACACAACAATAAAAAACATGTGAAAGATGTGGTATTCACTTCCCAGGAAAAGATGAAGATCTCTCCCCTTGCATATGGGCAGGATGATAAACAAAGAGCTGATGAAAGATGCTGGAGAAGCAGGATACCCGATAGATAGGCTTGGCAGAATTCTTCCCTGCCCCCCCCCCCAATTTTCCCCCCCAATTTTTATCCATTTTTAATTTGACAGTTGCAGGAAATTAAGGGGGAAGTATGGTTGGGGGTAGTACTAGGGCACTGACAATGGTGTAGCTGGGGGGATCCTGTGCTACTGAGGGGTCCAAGATACCCGGACACAGGATGCAGGGGAGGCTGCAGTTCTGGTCACCAGAGCAGAGGCCTCTGGCCAGGGCTGAAAGGAGGAAGATCAGCCTTCAGCCATGGAGGAGGCCACCCCACTGCTGAACACTCCCTGCCTGGGGACAGCCCCTGCACTCAGGGCTAGTGAGTGAGCGCGGGACTGTGACAGGGGAGCTGCAGAGGGCTCCCTGCACAGCCATGGAGCCAGTGACACTGGATCGTTGCAGGCGCAAGGCTGCCTATGGTCCTAGCAGGGCAGAGCAGAGACCTCCCTAGTCGGGACTGCAAGGAGGAGAAGGACAAGCCCCCAACTGTGGAGGAGGCCACTCTGCTGATGAATGGCTCTGTCCCCTACGGCTGAGGGCTTATCCTCAACCTTGCAGCCCTGGCCAGGGGTCTCTACTCTGCCCTGCCAGGACCATAGCCTTCCCCACACCCTCGGCCTGCAGAAATCCAGTGTCACTGGCCCTGCAGCTGTGCAGAGAGCTCTCTCCACTGTCATAGACCTGCTCCCTCTCTCCTGTGACAGCAAGGCTGCAGAGGGTGCTCTGTGCTGCTGCTGCAGGGCCAGTGATACCCAATTGCTACAGACCCAAGTGGGAGGCTGCACTAACTTGTATGGATGGATATGCTTTTCACCAATTTCAGGGTGTCAGCTGAAATCAATGTTTAACAACATCTATCAATTTAAATTAAGTCCTGCCAAGCCTTTATGTAGAGGGAAGAGATGGAGCCATGAAAACACCCCTCCGTGCACTATGGGGTGGAGACTTTGGAAAGGAAGTTCCAGTCCTCCCGGCAATCAAGATGAAGGAACTAGGAGGCACAATTTTGATTTCTAATAGCCATGAGAAGTACTTCCCTTCTGGTCATAGTGTCAGGGCAATACTAAGGATTTTTAACTTTGTTTTGCGGGAGGCTTGTCACTATAACAAATTCTGAGAATCTATGCGTTTGAGTCATAATAATAAACAAGGCATCATCATAAATAAATGTTAAGTTGGCACTTTGGGGATATTCTGAAATCTGAGGGAATGGGACAGTAGCAACTATTACCTGTGTAGGCCACGTCAAGTCATATGCAGTAATCACAAGCCACATTTCTTAATAAATAAATACATAAATAAACAAACATACATACATTTTGGTTTTGTCTGTATTAAGTTTACTGCAAGGTCCTGTATATTTAATCTTTAACTAAACAACAAAAGAGGGCAAGAGTAGCTTTATGTGTTTCAGTGGCTGGGATGTGTTCCATACTAGTGCTAAGCCTGGGAACCTCTATTTGCAAAAGTGAATTCTGAACAAGCTGGAGGAAGTGGGGGATTGAAAGCCTACTGCATCTTGAATTGCAAGTAAATAAGACGACTCCTCAAATTAAAAACAAGCTTCTAGCCTCCCAGCACATCTCACCAGAGACGTCAATACACTTTCAAGCTTTAAACTTTTTCACAGTTCCTACTTGTTTTTTCAAATTTGTAATATCCTCTGAGCAATCTCAAAATAAAATGTCTTCTTTTCTCAACAACTTTGTCTTTCTCAACAACTTTCTGTTTGACAAACATTGATTCCTTTCTTTTTGTTCCCCACCTGCAATGCATTTTGCTTTGAATCGAGCTGAAATTAACAAGACTCTTTTCGTCTGCACATCATCATCATCATCATCACCATCATCAACTGACCTGGATGGGAAACGGTTTTCCCATCCCATAAAAACTCAAGATTCCAAAAATATTCTTGTTCCTCCTCAGTACAAAACTGAGACCTTTCAAAGATTTTCAAGGAAAATGAGAGAGATACCCTTTCTGAATCCGGGGGAGACTTGAACCTGGGACTCTCACATCAAAGGTGGGTGCCCTAAGCACCTGGCTATTAACTATTCTGGGATGATGCCCTCTCAATGTCTCCCATTGGAGCTGTCCCACTTTGTATAAATAATTAAATGTTCACTGGGCCAGAGACAGACTGACTCCATGTCAGTGATCAGGTCACTTACCTGGGATGTGAGAAATCCAGGTTAAATGCCTACTTTAAAGAATATTAAGAAAAGAGGAATTTAGAATCTACTGATGACCGATATACATCTACATCAGAAACACAACCGTGGCCCAGCTGCAGCACAGCAGCTTGCAATGCTGTAGCATAGATAGTTACTGCAGCAACAGAAGGTGTTCTTCCATCACTGTAGGTAATCCACCTCTCTGAAAGGGGTTAGAGCTGTCTACACTAGGGCTTAGGTTGGCTTAACTATGTCTCTAAGGGCTTGGCTATCCTACCCACTGGATCGGCGGGCAGTGATCGATCCAGCGGGGGTCAATTTATCACGTCTAGTCTAGATGCGATAAATCAACCGCCGAGCACTCTCCCGTTACTCCTGGACTCCACTGGAGCGAAAGGCGCAGGCGGAGTCGACAGGGAAGTGGCTGCAGTCGACTCACTGTAGCGAAGACACTGCGGTGAGTAGGTCTAAGTACGTCGACTTCAGCTACGTTGTTCACGTAGCTGAAGTTGCATGACTTAGATCGATCCCCCGCTCCCCCACCCCCAGTGTAGACCAGGCCGCCTCAGGGTTGTAAATTTTTCATATCCCTGAGCGATGTAGCTAGGTTGACCTAAGTTTTAGGTGTAGACCAGGCCAGAAATAGCTTAAGAAAACCTACAGCAACAAAACACACTAAATACACCATAACAGGAACACCTGGAGGCCGCAACCTTACCCGTTTGCACAAAATAGATGAGTAGTATTCCAAAGGGCCATTGGTATGTAATAAACAACAACTGCTGTTTATTCCGGGAGAGCTGCAGGTTCCCATCCACTCCAAAAATCAAGGCCATGAACTAGTGAATTTGAAAATACTTGAAAAGTAATCCCATTATCTTTTTCTTTCCTTTTTTGTAATCTTTAGAGGATAACTCATGTCAGGCAACCAACCATATCTCTGTAATTTCAATTAAATTAATTGTTGTTGCTCTTGAAACAGTACATGATCATCAGTACAAATAAACAACATATAAAAGGAGAATATTTACCCAATTAACACATAGTGGTAGCTAAGATGCCACAGTGTTCTCCTATGTGTGTGCTGTTTTGCTAACAGCATTTTTTAATCATAACTATTTGAATAAATTAGGCTTGATTTGAATGACAGGAGAATTTTTCTGTCAATTAATTAGTTTATCTTTTAAAATTAAGGGTCCTCCCTCCCCACAAATTCCCTAAAAAAAAGCCATGGTTTCAGTTTTTGGGCTCAACTAGCTGGCTAGCTTGGTGCCCTAACAGCATGCAATCTGTTTGTAGTCTTTCTGCTGCTCCTGCTAGTAACAGAGATGTGTGTGTGCGCAGCACACTCTGAAGGAAAAGGGAGTTGGAGACTGTGAAACTGATTGTGCTAGAAGTGTTTGCTAATAGAGATGTCAATGAAGTAGAGAAGTTTCAGTACCTGAGTTAACTAGCTGCTGCTCCATGACCCCGCAGCCCAGCACCTCCATCCATTCTCCTTGGAAGTTGATCTCCATCTCAAAGGAAGGGTGAGTAAATGGGAAGTAGCAGTCTACCCATCTAATTTCCAGTCCTGTACCATTGTTTAAAAATAAATAAATAAGAAGAGTAAGTATTTAAAAGGCTACCTCCTCCAACCCTTTGTAAAACTTGTCCTTCAGTTAATGACACCAATTACTGTAATCCTGAGAAAATAAATAGCAAACAAACTAATTTGCAGCACTTTTGTGCAAGGTAATAAATCTTGCAACTTGTGAAAAAATGGCTATGTCTTTTCTAATATGAAAAACACTTTGTGCAATTCAGGCACCCTTTGAAACCAAATCAATCACTTGTCAAATTCCAGCAACCACCTGGCAGAGAAGGAAAATGAGCCAAGATCATGGGATGGTAGGTAATTTTGTTATTCTCTGTAACAGAAAATGACTAAGATCGTCAAATATAGCTAACACTTTTTGTTGTGTTTTTATTATTTTTATTATTTTACAATTTTAATTATTACTTTAATGACACATTTAGGCAAATAAGTTTCTGCCCTCCCCCTCCCCCTTTTTTTCTCCAAACACAGTAATCTTAACCTGTTTTAAAAATAAAGCTATTTTCTCTGTACGTGCTTGTGTATGAATATTTTATTAGGCTACACATACGAGAATACATGATGGTGCAATGTGGTGTAACACACAAGATATCTGTAGCATGAGTTTGGGATGACTTCAATACTTGTAAGTAAGTGAGCTATGCATGCAGAGTTGCCAACTTTTGACCCCAGTTTGGTTCATTTCATAAATCCCTAGTGCCTGGAGTCATGATTACACGAGAAACTCAGCTTTCATTAAAAAAAAAAAAATAAAAAAATAAAATCAGTTTTCTAGACTTTATGATTACAGAAGAAAGCCTGAAAACATGAAAGGCTCAAGAGCCTTTTAAATTTTTTTAAATCTCATGACTTTTAAGCTAATTTTATTATTTCTGCAAGCCTGACTCATGAATTTTGAATGTTTGAGTTTGGCAATATTATACATATCATCCCAAAACTGTGCCAAGAAAACCTTTACAGCATACTACACCATCCTGATTACAGTAGATGACAAATATTTTACAGGGGAAAAAATGTTTAGATAAGTTTTTGTTTGTTTATAGTTGTTGTTATTGTAAGCATCAGCATATATCAGGGCCAAATTGATTCCAAGGTTGAATTCCTGTTTCTGTTCCAATTCCCTTCCCCTCACTTTTTCCATTACTAATAATACATGAAACAATTTATTTTTAGGCTGAAATTTTCCATGTTTAGTTTAAGCCTCCCACCCTTTTTTGAAGCAACTGTAATTCAGCCATTTTTGAGCAACACAACCAGGGAAACCCCATCCCTCCAAACAATTTCCACAAATGTTCTGATGGAAGTGTTTGCACTGACATTAATTAAAAATAGCTGAAACTAGAACCTTATTAAAGACTGTAATTAAAATGGCACTCTAGAGGCCCCACCTGAGATTATGGCCCCATTATACTCGGCATTATACAAACATAGTTAAGACAGTCCCTACCCGAAACAACTTACAATCTAGGACGCCAGTCCTACACTGTGATCCACATAGGTGCAATATCCCATCTACATGGACTACAATGCAGAATCAAGGCCTAAATAGACAAGACAGACTAAGCGTGGGAGTATTGTTATCCCATTTTACCGTTGAGAGCTGATGCACAGAGACATTTGGGGTATCTCTTCACTGCAGAGTTTACTTGGGTGTTGCCCTTCACCTCCCTCCCATGCACACACAAGTTTAGTGGTACTTTTAACTTGGGCTAACTGGCTCGTCTGAGGCTGTACACTAAACCCCAAGAGAAGCTTTCACTCATGCTGATAACCTGCCCACTTTGCAGCGGGGACGCAAGCTAAACCACTCGAAGTAATGAAACTAAGTTCAAACTTGATTTAATTCATGTTCACTAATGAGCAAGGGAAAGCAATTCAAGTTTGAAAAAACACTAGCCTGAGTGAAGTTTGTTGGGGTGACGTTAACTATATATTTCCATGCGATAGATGATTTTTTTAATTTTAAAAAGAAAAACAACTTTGAATTTCCACAATTTATAACTTTTGGGGTTTTTTTGTTTTTTTTAAACTATAACATTCTCTTACAATCTTAGGTGATGGATTCTTTCAGCCTTAGCTGCAGGTTAATGGCATTTTTGCACATAAATACTCACACACACAATACACTGTAACACATGCATGTGTACACAGACACAGCCAAAACAGTAAATACATTCAACATTTAGGAAACACCACAACGGATGCTGTTGACAGTCAGCCATTCAAACACATTAGCACTTGCATATTTTCTTTTTTGCTTTTAAAAATAAACCTCAAGAACTTTTATGGATGAAGGTTAACTTTTTATTCATATAAAATTAGAAAATTCAAAGTGATTATCAGAATGACCATATTTGTACTATGTTTTTTATTTATACACACACACACACACACTATGGGTATGTCTTCACTCCATGCTGGATCGGTGGGCAGCGCTCAATCCAGCAGGGATCGATTTATCGTGTTTAGTCTAGACGCACTAAATCGATCCTCGAAGTGCTCTCCCGTCGACCCCTGTACTCCAGCGCCGTGAGAGGCACAGGCAGAGTCAACGGAGGAGCAGCAGCAGTCGACTCACCGCGTTGGAGACACCATGGTAAGTCGATCTAAGTACGTCGACTTAGATCGATTCCCCCCCAAAGTGTAGACCAGAGCTAAATGGTGATAACTATACTGACTTCACGCATATATAAATATATGAAGTCTATATGAAATCAGTATATATATGCATGAAGACAGTAAAGTTATCCCCATAGATAGAGAACACTACATATATACAAAAGGGACCAACATATGGTGACTGTGGGAACCATAACTTTGAATTTCCTGACCTTTGTGCAATTGGAATTGTAACCCTAAGGCTGATGTAAGACATCGCATTTTTGTATACATATGCATATATGTGAACTTATTTTTCATTCACATTTCACAATTTGCAAAGGCAGTAAGAATTACATTGAATATTCAACTATTTTTGTACTTAATAAAAAGAAAGCTCCAGTAGAATATGTTTTTAATAATCTGCCTTTCAGATAATGTTCAGATATTTGATTTCTGTTATTAAAAATCATAGAATCAGAGAAATGTAGGGCTGGATGGGACATAATTTTTATGATTCTTAATCAAGTAAATACAATTTCAGCATATTATCTGAAAGACAGATTAAGGACTGAATGAAAAGCAGGAAGGTGAAAAAATGATTCTATTACATGAGGGGATTTGGGGGGGAGGCTGTTTGTTTTTTAAATTTTGAACCATTGATGTATGTAAATAAGTTTTTCTGGTGTTCAAGGAACACTCCCTTTGGGGTATCAGACGCTGTACAGAATGCAGTTCCAGTTAGATTATATTGCATTATTTGTCACAGAGTTCACCATGTTACCCAGTGTTCTGATCCACAGGGAGGCTCAAAGAGTTAGGATTGCTGTGGAAAATATATACACATTTCCTGTAATTTAGGATTAGTTAGAACACTAAACAGAGTGTTTTGTAACATCCATTCCTTTTTATTTTTAATGTATATTCAAAATTAAAGAAATAACATAAAAAGTACAGAAAACAGAGAAGGGATAGTAAAAAGAGAAACTATATAAGAGAAACTGTATCAATACTGTATCAATCTTCACTTATTTATTTTATTAACTTTTGTTTCCGTTTCTCCAGTCCTATACCAAGATACTTCATTTTTCAAGATTGGCTTCATTTAAATACACATTGCTTATTGATTAGGATTAATTTCTTTTTAAATTATTATGATCAGAGATTAAACATGAGAAATTTCAGGCACAAAGGATTATTTCCAGAAATTTTAAAAAGGCTGAGGGCTCCAAAAATCAGACATACAATTTGAAAAAGTCAAATAGGACTTAACTTTCTATGTTCTGTAAACCAAGCAATTGGTCCTTCAGACACTAACTATCAGATGTCGACCCACTCATTTTAATATTTCAAAAGGGACTGTTCATGATTACCCACTGATGTCAATGGGAATCCTTTCACTGGCTTAATTGGGTATTGGATTGGGTCCCTTGTCCAGCAGTATCTAAAGGATTAGGCCTCTAGTGAGTAAAAAGTAAATGGAGGATTATTCTTATTTTTGATTAATGCATGCCAGTAAGGAATTGCACAGATCACATTTGTATTCAATGGAGATGGCATTGCCATATACTGAGCTAAAGGAAGAATCTGTCAGTAGTAGCCTAACTGAGCCCTGTAAGGAAAATGTTTAGCAAAAGGCACTGAAAATAAAAATCATGAAGGCAACCCATTGCTGTGGTACTGCTAAGAATCAGAAAAAAACAGAGTACCAGACATTCTCCAGAGATTACACATTTATGTACTGGTTTGTTCCTTGTACGATTATGTTTAGGAAAGGACTCTGGAAGAAAAGAAAATATTCACAAAAGGAAACTACTGAGAACAGGAGTTGCTTAACCCTATGTATGTAAAATTTACATCTCTCCTAAATTAAGCCTGACTTCATTACTTCCTATTTTCCTTTGTTGCCCCATCTCAAGAAAGTTACTTTGGAATTGGAGGGGTTTCGGAGAAGGGCAACAAAGGTGATTGGGGGTATGGAACAGCTTCCATATAAGGAGAGATTAGTGGGACTGGGACTTTTTGGCTTGGAAGGGAGATGACTGGGGGTGGTATGATTTGGGTCTGTGGAGTCATGGCTGATGTGGAGAAGCTGGGTGTGGGAGTGTTGTTTGCTCGTTCTCATGACACAAGAACTAGGGGTCACCAAATTAAATTAGTGGGCAGCGGGTTTGGAGCAGACGGGAGGAGGTATTTCTTTACACGGTGCGCAGTTGGCGGGTGGGGCTCCTTGCCAGGGGATATTGTGGGTGCCAGGATTATAGCTGGGTTCATAAAGGAACTAAATAATTTCATGGAGGATAGGTTCATTGATGGCTATTAGTCAGGGTGGGCAGGGATGGGGTCTCTAGCCTCTGTTTGCCAGAAGCTAGGAATGG